CCCAAGCGCCTAGTGGGGCCCAGAGTGAACCCGGCGCTTCCTGGTCCCGTGTTCTCCAACCCCAATCACTCCCCACTGCCCACGCTGGCTGTCCCACTCGCCCCAGCCCCTGCACTGGTCAGCAGCCCTGTCGGGCCCTGGACACTCGGAGCTTGCAGCCTGGGCATGCAGGGAAGCATTCCCGTGGCTATCCAGGTCAGATCTCCCGAGCTTGGGCGGGAACTGCCCTTGGGAAGCCCACCCTGCCCCAGGGCAGAGGACTGGGAGTGCAGCGGGGACAGGGACAGCACCGACAGGCTGCCCAGCCCCAAGCCTCCCAGCGTGGACACTCCTGTCCTAGCAGATCTGGCAGCACGGGGCCCAGCAAGTCAGAGCCCAGAACAGGCCCTGCCAGAGGGCTGGGCGGCCAGGACACTGGGCATGGCACACACCCCGTGGGACAGGGGCAGCCCAGGCCAGACTGCCCTCTGGGACGGGGAGCGGGCGGACGGAACGTCTCTGCCGAAGCAGCCTCACGCCTGGGCAAACTGGCCAGGGCACACCCAGCCCCCGAGTGAGCCAGCCACGCGGGCAGGACCTGCTGCATGACACACCTGCGCCCCAGTGCACCCAGCTCGGGGGCCCAAGGGCACCGCCGGCCCGGCCCCGCCCCCCTGCTGCGGCGTGTCCACGGCAGTGCCGCACGTCTCCAGGCCTTGGCCTGCTCGCCCACGGGCGGGCACCCCACCTTGGTGCCTGTGCCGGCTGCCGTGGCGCTGGCGCTGAAGTCATGCGCGGGCAGGGTGCTCAGCCACTGGGCCATGGAGCGCTCGAGCCGCTCGGTGCGCACGATGCTGGGGAAGATGTGCTGCTCCTTAAAGGCCGTGGCCCGGGCCTCCTCCTGCGCCCAGTCGAGCGGCTCGTGCAGCCCGTCGGTGCCGAAGCGCTGGTTGTACTTCTCGAAGTGCACCCGCTCCAGCACGAGGCCCAGCCCCGGCGCCTTGGGCACGTGGACCTTGGCCTCGCCCCAGCTGCGCTCCAGCACGCTCTCAGGCGCGTAGCCCTTCACGATGGCCACCAGCAGGCCCACCATCTTCCGGATCTGGTGCGTCATGAAGCTCTGGCCCTTGACCTTGATCACGGCGAACTCCAGGCCCTCGCGCTCGAAGGGCTCCTCGCAGTACATCTCCAGCACGAAGCGCCGGGCGCTGGGCTCCCGCGGCCCCTTCTGCGAGGTGAAGTTGTGGAAGTTGTGAGTGCCCTGGTAGCAGGCCAGGAGCCTGTTGACCTGCTGCAGGGCCTCGGGGCTCAGGCGGTAGCTCTCGTCCTGCACGTCACGGTCCTTGTGGGCGAAGGCGAACGTGGGCAGCATGTACAGGTACGTCCTGGCGTCACACCTGTTCTTGGAGTTGAACCCGCCTGTGACACGCTTCAGTCCTGTGGGAGGCAGTGGGCAACAGGGATGCACTGAGCGGATGGTGCCCAGCCCCAGCGAGGGCACAGCTCCTCACCCTGAGCTTGCCGGGCCTAGGACCGATCGGGATGCCCCGCACGATGCTGACCCCAGGACCAGGCAAAGGCCCACAGCCAAGCGGAGGGCAGGAGACCCCCCCGCCCCACCCCTCGTGGTCTCTGAGTGCGGATGGCCACTGCCCCTCACCGTGGAGTCAACAGCAGGTATGGAACAGTGTGACCGCGGCCAGAGCCTCATGTGCGTCACCAGAGAGCACCCCACACCGGTCCCTCAGCCCTCCACCGCGTCATGTCTGGGGCCCGCACGCACACATGCCCAGCGGTTCCCAAGTCGCTGGGCCCAGCATTCAAGCCACGCCGTCAGTGTGTGGGACCCAGCTCCCTTAACCACTAGGCTGTGAGGGCCAGTCAGCACTGTTTTTTGGTTTTTGTTTTTTTGGGGTTTTTTTTGAGATTTTTGCTATGGGGCACATGTGCTCACTGGGGAGGCAGAGAGAAAGAAAGAGAGAAATCACCCCCAGGGGAGACAGCTGCGCTGCAATCCCTTCTCCTCCGTTCTCCTCTGAGGATTTTGGGCACATGCGCACACGTGCCTGCCGTGAGATTTAAGCCACAAGGTCTGGGACTCAAACCACAGTCCACGACGTGGGAGTCTAGCAACGTAACCATTATGCCATCTGCTGGTCCTAGGAGTACTGTCCTTCACAGCAAAAATAAATAAATAAAACAATTTTTTTCCCAAAAGAAACTGCAACCACCTTGAGAGTCCAGTGAGAGGCTGATCAAGTCCGTCCTGGGATGTTGGTGGGGACAGGGACAGCCCTGGGATGGGCACTAACAGGGACTCCGAATGCCGGACACTTGGCTCACACTGGCTGAGCACTGGCCAGGGGACGCCCACTGCAATGCACGTATCCACACGGCCGGTCCCAGCAGCAGCAGCGGCACAAAAAGCTCCAGGAGCTCGATGCGGGCAGTGCTTCTGCTGCTGGGTGTGCCCAGGGCCAACTCCTGCGGGAGCTGTTGACCCCGTGGGCCTGGCTCAGTGTGCCCGGGCTGGGCGCCAGCAGGGCAGCCACGGGCACCGGCACTCGTACTCTCGCACTGC